AAGACTCCTTCTGGGGCCTCAGGGGTCATGGGCACCCCCAAGATGCTGCCATGGGACCAGTACAAATTTCGTTCCTGCTGGCACCCCAAAATGCTCACCCCAGTTCCTACACCTCCTCACCTGTGTGCTCCCTCCAACAAGAGGTTAAGCACAATGGGTTTGAGTGAGTGGAGCTTGCCTCTGCTGGTGCTGAAGCAGCTGGCTAGTTCCAGTCCCTGCACTCCAGTTCCTGCCCACAAAAGAGTCAGGGAAATTTCCTGCTTCAACATCATTGTAGTGCTACAAATGTACTAGTTTTATTAATAGTGCCTCACAAATTAAAAATAAATGTTGTGCCTGTTTTATCTATTTAAAAAAAAAAAAAGTCCAATGGCCCTGATATATGAATACACAGCTAGAGAAACAAATTTTTGTTGCCACAAAGTAAACAACCTTATATTATTTGTTAGAGCTCAGAAACAACATGATAACCTAAGAATTAGCTTCACTAAAGAAGTGAAAGACCTCTACAGTGAAAACTATAAAACACTGATAAAAGAAGTTGAAGAGAATACACAAAAAATGAAAAGATATTTCATGTTCATAGATTAGAAGAATCAATATTATTAAAATGTCCATACATCCAAAGCATTCTTCAGATTCAGTGCAACTCCTATCAAAATACCAATGACATTCTTCACAGAAATAGAAAAAATAATCCTACAATTTATATGGAACCACAAAAGACCCAGAATAGCCAAGCCATCCTAAGCAAAAGAAATAAAACTGGAGCAATCACAGTACCTGAATTCAAATAATACTACGGAGCTGTGGTAACCAAAACAGCATGGTACTGACTGGCATAAAACAGACACATAGGCCAATAGATCAGACTAGAGAATCCAGAAACAAATCTATACACCTAGAATCAACTCATTTTTGACAGAGGTGCCAAGAACACACACTGGGGAAAGGTCTGTCTCTCCAAAAACATGCAGGGAAAGCGAACATCCAGATGCAGAAGAATGAAACTAGACCCCTATCTCTTACATTATGCATAAATCAAATCAAAATGAATTACAGACTTACATCTAAGACCTAAAACTATGAAACTACTAAAAAAAAAATTAGAGAAACTCTCCTGGACATTGAACTGGACAAAGATTTCTTGAGTAATGCCCCATGAGCACAGGCAACCAAAGCAAAAATGGCAAATGGAATCCCATCAAGCTAAAAAGCTTCTGCACAGCAAAGGAAACAATCAGCAAAGTGAAAAGACAACATGTGAGAAAATATTTGCAAGCTACCCTGACAAAGGATTAATACCCAGAATATATAGGGAGCTCAAACAACTCTACAGGGGAAATAAAACTAATAAATCTATTTCTAAAGTGGGCAACATATCTAAACTGACATTTCTCAAAAGAAGACATACAAACGGCAAACAGATGTATGAAAAAGTGTTCAACATCACTGATCAACAGAGAAATGCAAATTGAAACTACAGTGAGATATCATCTTACCTCAGTTAAAATGACTTATATTCAAAGACAGGCAATAACAAATGTTGGCAAGGATGTAGAGAAAAGGGAACCCTTGTACACAGTTGGTGGAAATGTAAATTAGTACAACCACTATGGAGAACAGTTTCCTACCATATAATCCAGCAATCACACTGTTAGATATATACCTAAAAGAAAGGTAGTCAGTATATTGAAGAGATGTCTGCACTCCTGTGTTTGTTGCAGCACTGTTTACAATAGCTAAAATTTGAAGACCGCCTAAGCATCCCTCAACAGATGAATGAATAAAGAAAATGTGCATATACACAATGGAGTACAATTCCACCATAAAAAACAATAATATCCTGTCATTTGCAACAACATGGATGGAAATGGAGGTCATTATGCTAAGTGAAATAAGCCAGGCACAGAAAGACAAACTTCTGTATGTTCTCACTTATCTGTGGGATTTAAAAATAAAAACAATTGAACTAATGTAGATGGTAAAATGATGGTCACCAGAGGCTGGAAGGGATAGTTTGGCAGTGGGGATGAGGGGTGAGTGGGGATGAGGGTAAGTGGGGATGAGGCGTAAGTGAGGCTGAGGGGTAAATGGGGATGGTTAATGGGTCCAAAAATATAATTAGATAGAATGACTAAGATTTAGTATTTGATAGCATGACAGAGTGACTACAATCAGCAATAACTTATTACACACTTAAAAATAACTGAAAGACTATAATTGGATTGTTTGAAACACAAAGAAGGATAAATGCTTAAGACAATGGATATCCTATTTACCCTGATGTGATTATTATGCATTGTATGCCTGTATCAAAATATTTCATGAACCCTATAAATGTATACATGTACTGTGTACTCACAAAAATTTAAAACAAAACAAATAAACAAACACATAAATTCAGCTTATTAGAATTCCCAAACATGAATAGAAGATCTGAGATAACACTTTTTGCCACCCTTCGATATTTGGTAAGGTTTTCTGGTAGATTTTCTACATAGAAAAAAAAATACCCTTTGAAGAAAAAGAAGAGCCTTTATGACTTTAACAGGACAATGCTTTCCCAGAATCTCTCAGAAGCTAACATAATCCTGTACATACAGATTAGCCTGTGCCTACATTCCGGGAGAGACTGCAGTAAACGCAAATACAGGCCTTATTATGGGGTCATTTTACATTTCAAACTGCAGTTTACTTTATAATCGAACAGTTCATCTTTACAAACTAGCAGTAAGTCTCAAAAAACAACACACACACACACACACACACACACACACACACGACTGCTTAACAACAAAGATCCTTGTATATACAACATTTATTTTTCTTCCCTTTTCTTAAAATTCTATTTTCTGACCAGTTGAAGAGTCCTGTTCTAACTTAGTTCATTAAAAATATCAATTTCTTTCCATGGGCCTCCAAATTATTGTTTTAATTTGAAAAATGTTTTACCTCAGTTCTGAAAGGACTGTCTCCTGCAAACATTCCCACTTCTGAGTGTTTCCTACTTTAGGAGAACAAAAGTTCCAGCATTTAGTATCCTTAGAGCACACACTTTCTCTCTGCCTTAGATAAACCCAAGTTCTCCCAAAAACTAAATAAGACAATGAATCCTCACTTGGCCTCATTGCAAGTGAGATATACAGTCGTCTCTGATGGCTTCTAGATCTTGGGCAGTTTGAACACTTTCTTTATTTATATATTTAAGATGTATAGCACAATGTTTTGATATACAATGAAGTGATGACTACAGTCAGGTAAACTAACATATCCATCCTCTCACATACTTACTTTTGTGTGTGTGGTAAAAGTACCTAAAACCTCTCTTAGCAAATTTCCAGTATACAATATTCTTAACTGTCATCCTCATGTTGCTCATTAGATCTCTACACTAATTCATCCTATATAACTGCAACTTTGTCCCCTTTGACCTACATCTGCCCATTTCCCCTGTCCTCTCACCCCAATCACCATTATCCTCTCCTTTTCTATTTATTCAATGTTTTAAAAGATTTCATATATAAGTCAGGTCATGTAGTATTTTTCTTTCTATGGTCTGGTTTACTTCACTTGGAATAGTGTCCTTTCCATTCATCCATGTTGTCTCAAACAACAGAATCTTCTTTTTAAAGCTGAATAATATTCCATCATACTATATATACCACAGTTTATCTGTTCATCTATTGACAGATGCTTTGGTTGTTTCCTTATCTTGGCTATTGTGAGTAATTTTGCAATCAACATGAAAGTGCAGTTATCTTTATGAGGCAGTGATTTCACTTCCTTTGGGTATATGCCCAGGAGAGAGATTGTCAGGTCATAGGGCAGTTTTACTTTTGGTTTCTTTAGAAACCTCCATACTTGCTGCATTTCTTATCTTTTTGATAAAAGCCTGGACAAAGTTTTGTTTTATGGCAGAGTCTGTATTAAGTATTACTATCCTTAGATTCACAGTCATACGCATTTTTCAATGTTCACTCAGTGAATCAACATAGAAATTTAAATGGGAAGTTTAGTAATTATTTCTTCACGTTTTTATTTTCCTCAAATGTCTTGAACACAAACTGTATATTTGCTAAATAATGTTTTGTGGTCCTAAGTCAGATATTATTAAAACTTGATATGTTGGGAACTCCAAGCCAAGAGGAGGAAATACTTCTAGACCTTTCCATAAACGGATATGTCTTCAAATGGAATTTAAAAAGGTAAATAAAAACTTATTTGAGGTCTATATGGAATTGATCATTTTCTTTTGAAAATAGTCATTCAGACAATTACTTCTGAAGAAATCTCTTCAATGCCATCTTTGCTAGTAACTACTGGGCTATTTCCCATTCCCACCTCCAATATTAACGTACCATGCATGACATACAGTGCTATAGAACCAAAAGATATTCAAGAGCTCCTAAACAAAAGAACTTGAAGGTCAAAAGGGGAGCAATTCTTACAGAATATTTTGATAATAATATAATTCCAGACACACAGACTCTTTAGGGACTTAAAGTCCTAAACCCCTAAAATTATACGTGAGAAAATTGCAACCTGAGATATTATGCCAACTGTCTAAAATTTTTAGTGGCAAGAACCAGTTTTTTATTTCAACAAACATTTATTGAACATCTACTCTATAGCTGGCAAAAGAAGACATTTTGGAATAAAAAAATGCAAGACACAGTTCCTACCCCCTACCCCCTGTTGTTCACAGTCCATTAGGGATAGCTGCCTAGTGAGCAGAGACACAGAGTGATAGGTTCTTTGATAGAGGCAGTCACAAGATGAGGCCCAAAACTCACAGAGCAAGAAACCAGAACAAATTTTTGGAGGGGGTTGGTTCTGACCTGAGTCTTGAAGAAGGTGAAGGAGCTGCTTAGGAAAGGGAGAGATCAAGAGAAAAGGGTCTGGCTGTCTAGGTCTTCCTACATTCACATTAAACTAGCCTACTTTTAAAATGTTTTGGCTTTGAGTTTGGTTTTGTTCATGAATTATTTTATCTCTAGGTCAGAACATGGTGCCAAAGGAGTGAAAGCCATAACAGCCACCTTAAAAATGTCTCACACTAACCACAAGGGGGAGTAGATTAAAAATAGCTGAATTCAGGTAAGCCACTCAACACCACCACTAAAACTCACCAGCAAGTAGGTAGTGTTATGGGGCATGGGCCAAACCTCCATATAAAGGCAGCTTTGCTTACAGAGTTATTCATTGTATCAATCTGTGTGCTTTTCAACTATCACTTTAATATGTAGGTAGAAAATAAAAAATATTCAGTAAAAATATGCAAAACACAAATTTATTAATTCAAGTATTTTTGAGTTCTATTATGTGACATGGAGATACTTCAGTCATTTTCTAATCATACACTTAATCCTTTGTAAAGAGATTTGGGGCTTTAGTTTTTTCCTCAGTTACTCATTTGTTGATTTAAGCCTGAACTTGGAGGTGTTCAGAGACTAGAAAGACAGTCATAGATACAAGAATCTATTAATGTATAGAGGATGGGAGAAGGAGAGAGAAGGAGTGATTTGAAAATATCTTCAGAACAGGCTGCATGAGTGGCTGCAATGTTTTCAAAAGTGGGGTTTCTGGATATCTTAAATATGCTTGTAGTGCCACAGCTTGTAGAGTTGGAGGATGGTGGTCAGAACTCACCATTATTCATTCATGGTAGCTATGGGTTCTTACCTGTCCTCTAGGATCTAAAAAATTATCTATCTTTGGGACCTCTGAAAGATGACATTTTTGATCAAAACTTAGATCCATGTTCTCCACATGTAAATGTTTTTATAAGGCAAATGGGATAAACATTTAAAAGCAGGACTGACACTTTTTTGTCCCTTTTCAGCGTTAAAGATGTCAAAATAAGAACATCTTGGTGAGTCCTCTGGTGATATTTCTCTCTCTCTCCCCCTCTCTTTCTCTCTCTCTCTCTCTCTCTCTCTCTCTCTCTCTTCCCCCCCCCCACCCCTTTTACCCTCCTGGCTCACCAAGAATGGTCCAGGACTAAGAAAAGGGATAGATCAAAGGAACAGTAAATACAGCCTATGCCTGGAAGACTTAACATTTTAGCTGCTTTGTTGGGGATGGAATCTGGAGGCAATTGCAATAGAGTGAATAGAAAAATAATATAGGAGTCAAGACACAGGTAAAATTCTGGCTTTGCTGCTAAATATCTGGATGTTTGGGGCAAGTCATTTAGTCAACCTAGGCCTCAATTTCTCTATCTGTAGGAAATAATGATGGCTGAAATTTGTTGAACATGTATTATAAATCTATCAACAGTTCTTAGAGGCTTATTTGGATGGGGATGAATAGATCAACGGTTTTGAAACAACTTTTGTGCAAGGGAATCTTTTCATAAAATGAAGTCGTGTATGGCTTCCCAATACATAGCTCAGATAAATGTAGTATACTTATAAGTTGCCATATATAGCATTTTCTCATGATACATTTGAAGATCATCATGATCTGTGATTTCCACCACATCAAGCTTTGATCTATAACATGTTTGAGTAGTAAGCATTTTCTAACTTAGTATTTAAAATAATAAATGTAATGAAATGTGTGTGGATGCCTAGAACACAGTTTAAAAGCCACTGAATGAGTTTATCTCTGAGGTATCTTCTGAATCTGATGTTCTCCCTGTCTAAGCCTGGCTCAGATGGCAAAAACTACTGCCAAGAACACAAACACACCAGTCACTTTTCTCTGCCATGAAGGAAGATGCCTCTTTTATTTCCCAGCAGATTCAATGCATAATATTAAAAATCTGTCAGTGTGACTAGTTTTAATTTAGACTCTCCTTCAACAAGTTTTGGGGCTAAAGGAATTGCTACATCTGTGACAGTCGTAACTGCTATGGGATTCCACATAGACTCACAGTGTGTACATCTGAATATTCCCAGAAGTATCTAGTCAAGCTCAATATAATTTTGAATGTCAGCAGACCTGAAATCCAGTAAATAAGAAAGCTGAATTAATATCACATAGTGAATTTCAGCAATGCTGCTTGGGTGGTAAGAAGGGTTCTCATTACTTTTTACCTATGTGACCCTGGCCACTTTTCATTTTGGGACCTAGTTTCTTGAACCAGAGATCAACATTATTTTCTTTCCAGCTGAAATATTCTTTATTCTCTAGTTAGTTAACATCCTTCTTTGATCAATTATACTGCCTGTATCTCCACCACTTCTCATTTATCAGCTGGACTGTTTTCATGAACATGCATTCTGTACAGATTTTCCACTGTGTAATTCTGGTGATTCTACATATGACTTAAATGTTTTATGTTTGCATGTAAAACTGGAATTGCATGATATGAGATGAATGGTAAAAGTTACATTTTAATTTTTAAACTCAGAACAACATTAATAGCAAATAAAAGACATAAAATATTTACATATAAATTTAACAAAATATGTATAAGATATCACATGTACCTGAAGAAAACTACAAAACTCTAATGAAAGAAATCAAAGTAGATCACAAATAAATGAAGAGATATTCCATGTTCATGGATAAGAAGACTTAATGTTAAAATATCAGTTTTTCCCAATTTGATCTGCAGATTCAAGCAATCTCAATAAAATAGCCCAGAAAGTTCCTTTGTGGTGACCAGCAAACTGGTTCTGAAGTTTACATGGGAAAGCAAAAGACCCAGAATAACCAACAAAATATTGACGAAGAACAAAGTCAGAGGACTGACACATCCATCCTCAAGAGTTACTGCAAAACTACAGTGATCAAGACAATGTGTTATTGGTGAAAGAACAGACAAATGGAGCACAGGAATGGAATAGAGAATATGGAAAAAGACCCACACAGTAATGTCAACTGATCTTTGACAAAGGAAAGTTACTGAGGAAAGGACAGCATTTTCAATAAATGATACTGGAACAATTGGACATCCACATGCAAAGAATGAATATAGAATCTAACCTTATACTATACAAAAATTAATTTTGAATAGATCACAAACCTAAATGTAAAACTATAAAACTTCTAGAAGATGACATTGATATTAGATTTCATTACAATAAAAAATTTCTGCTCTGTGAAAAACTCGTTAAGATGATGAAAAGACAAGGCACAGACTGAGAAAAAAAAACATAAAAGATATACCTGAGAAAGGACCTTTATATATCTTTTATTTATATATATATATATGCTTTTATATATCTTTTATAAAAATATTTATAAAAGATATATCTGAGAAAGGATATACAATGAACTCTTAAAACTCAACAATAGACTGGGTACAGTGGCTCATGCCTATAATCCCAACACTTTGGGAGGCTGAGGCGGGCAGATCATGAGGTCAAGGGATCAAGACCATCCTGACCAACATGGTGAAACCCCGCCTCTACTAAAAATACAAAAATTAGCTTGGCATGGTGGCGTGCACCTGTAGTCCAGCTACTTGGGAGGCTGACCCAGAAGAATTACTTGAACCCGGGAGGCAAAGTTTGCAGTGAGCTGAGATCACGCCACTGCACTCCAACCTGGCAACGGAGTGAGACTCCATCTCAAACAAACAAAAAATATCAACAAAATAAAAAAGCCAAACAATTCAATTAGAAAGAGAGAAAAGTATCTAAACAGACATCTCTGCAAAGAAGACATATAGAAGGCAAATAGCATATGAAAAAATGTTCCCCATCATGTGCCATTAAAAATTTGCAGATTAAAACAAAAATGAGATACCACTACATACCTATTAGAATGGCTAAGATCAAAATGACTTAAAAACATGCCCACACACAAAAAAACTGCACATAAATGTTTATAGTAAATTTATTCACAGTCGTCAAAAACTGGAAGTAACCAAGATGTGTTTTGGTAGATGAATGAATAAACTGTGGCATATCCATAAAATAAAACTCAGCAATAAAAATAAGCTATCAAGCCATAAAAAAATCATGGAAGAGAAAGCTGAAATGCATGTTGCTAATTTAAAAAAGCTAGTCTGAAAAAGATACATATTATATAATTCCAACTATATGACATCTGAAAAGGCAAAACTATAGAGAAAATGAAAAAAAACAGTGGCTTCCAGGGGTTAGTGGGGAAAGGATGCATAGGCGAAGCACAGGGTATCTATTTTTTATTTTTCAAAAAAAATTTTTTTTTTTTTTTGGCTCACTCTGTCACCCAGGCTGCAGTGCAGTGGTGCAATCTTGACTTACTGCAACCTCCACCTCGTGGGCTCAAGTGATTTCCCCAACTTAGCCTCTGTAGTAGCTGGCACTACAGGTACACCCATCATGCCCAGCTAAGTATTTTGTATTTTTTGTAGAGATGGGGTTTCACTAGTGTTACCCAGGCTGGTCTCAAACTCCTGGACTCAAGTGATCCACCCTTTCACCCTTCCAAAATGCCAGGATTATAGGTGTGATCCACCACACCCAGCTCCAAATTTTATTTTAGACTCAGGAAGTACATGTGCAAGTTTGTTACCTGGTTCTATTGCATGATACTGAAGTTTGGAGTACAAATGATCCTGTCACCCAAATACAGAATAGTACCTATTAGTTTTTAAACCATTCCTCACCCCTGTAATAGTCCCCAGTGTCTATTGTTGTCACCTTTATGTCCAGGAATTCTCAATGTTTAGTTCTCACTTATAAGTGAGAACATGTGGTATCTGGTTTTCTGTTCCTGCATTAATTTGCTTAGGATAATGGCCTCCACTTCATCCATGTTGCTGCAAAGAACATTATTTTATTCCTTTTTTTTTTTTTTTGAGATGGAGTCTTGCTCTGTTGCCAGGCTGGAGTGCAGTGGCGCAATCTCAGCTCACTGCAACCTCCACCTCCTGGGTTCAAGTGACTCTTCTGCCTCAACCTCCTGAGTAGCTGGGACCTCAGGCCTGTGCCACCACATCCGGCTAATTTTTTTGTGTTTTTAGTAGAGACGGGGTTACACCATGGCCAGGATGGTCTCGATCTCTTGACCTCGTGATCCGCCCACCTCGGCCTCCCAAAGTGCTGGGATTATAGGCGTGAGCAACCACGCCCGGCCTTTTTAAATTTTTTAGTAGAGACGGGTTTCACCGTGTTGGCCAGGCGATTTTGTTCTATTTTATGACTGCATAGTATTCC